TGTATGTGTTTGTGTATGTGTGTGTGTATGTGAGTGTGTGTATGCGTTTGTGTCTGTATGCGTGTGTGTGTATGTATGCCTGTCTGTGCGTACGTGCGTGTGTGTGTGTGCGTGTTTCTTGTGTAAGCTGAAAGACGCGAAAAATTATTGAAATATCTATTGCTCCAAGGGTTCAGGGGATCTCGTAGTCGAGCAGTCTCGACTAGAGCTTTCTTACTTGTTATATACGCTGTTTGAAAGCTCGCGAAGCTTTTTATTTGTTTTGTTGTATAGACCCCACTTAATAGAAAATAGCTTTCGAGCTGTTTTCATTAAGAGATCAAAATGCAACCAGTTAGTTGAGTTTCGGAGCCAAGTAGTTAAGGAACGCGGCCAGAAGCAAAATGTTAAAAGTGCGCAATTACCTGGCCATAAATCAGGCCCAAAAGTTGGTGGAAGCTGTAGGTGTATTTGCTAGCACGCAGCAGGTGAGTGTCAGATACCCTGTATAGATTGAGATAGCTTTCCCTATCAGCACTTCCTCACTAGCGTTGTCAAAGTACAGCAGCCGTGGTCAAGGAGTCAAGCGTTTCTAGAGATGACGTCGAGTGGCAGCAGGCACGTCCCTTCGAGGAGATACCCTGTGCCAATTCCATCGCGTTGACCTTCAACATGGCATTTCCCGGAGGCAAATATAAAAATCTGGACATGTCCCAACTGATGTTGGCCATGCGCGACGATTATGGCGACATCTACCGGATGCCCTCGATTTTTGGCAGCGAGCCCGTGCTCACTACCTATAATCCAAAAGACTTCGAGACTGTCTATCGGAACGAAGGCGTGTGGCCCCATAGATCTGGCAGCGATACGTTGAGATACCATCGTGAGCAGTTCCGCAGGGATTTCTTCGACGGCGTGGAAGGACTTATTCCTACCCAAGGCAAGGTATGGGGCGAATTCCGCAGTATTGTGAATCCCGTGCTCATGCAGCCGAAGAATGTGAGGCTCTACTACAAGAAGATGTCTCAGGTCAACTGCGAATTCGTCGATCGGTAAGCAGATTATTATATTCCCTCACTTCAATACAATTATACTTGTATGATTACCCCAGCATTAAGGCCATTCGAGATCCCAACACGCTCGAGGTGCCAGACAACTTCTTGGAGTATATCAATTACTGGACCTTAGAATCGGTCTCTGTGGTTGCACTGGACAAGCAGCTCGGCCTACTCAAGGACTCGCACAATGATGAAAACGCCAAGCTTCTCTTTAAGAGCTTGGACGAATTCTTCACGTTGGCTGCCATTTACGAGATTCAGCCCTCCGTCTGGAGGTACTTCCATACGTCGCAGTTCAAGAAGCTGCTGAATGCCTACGACAACATACAGAAAGTGACCTTGGCCTATGTGAATGAGGCTCTGGAGCGACTGAATGCAGAGGCCCAGCGTGGCATAGTGCGTCCCGAAAAGGAACAGAGCGTGCTGGAGAAGTTGCTAAAGATCGACAAAAAGGTGGCCATAGTCATGGCCATGGACATGCTCATGGCTGGCGTTGATACGGTAGGTAGATTTACAGATATCTGAATTAATTCACTTTAATATAAATATTCCATAGACTTCGAGTACATTTTCCGCGCTGATGCTGTGCCTTGCCAACAACCCGGACAAGCAGGAGAAGCTGCGCGAGGAAGCGATGCGCGTGCTGCCCAATAAGGACTCAGAGTTCACAGAGGAGTCCATGAAGAATGTGCCCTATTTGCGCGCCTGCCTCAAGGAATCGCAGCGTTTGATGCCCCTCGTGATTGGCCACATCCGTACTACAAATCGTGACTGTATTCTGAGTGGCTATAGGGTGCCAGCGGGCACATTTGTCTCCATGATTCCCCTGAACTGTTTGAACAACGATCAGTACTTCCCGCGCGCCTCGGAGTATCTACCCGAACGCTGGATGCGCAGTGAGACGAGCGCGGAGGGCAAGTGCCCCGCGAACTCTCTAAAGATCACAAATCCCTTCGTGTTTTTGCCCTTCGGGTTTGGTCCCCGCATGTGCGTAGGCAAACGCATTGTGGACATGGAAATAGAGCTTGGCATATGCAGGCTGTTGAGAAACTTTAAGATCGAGTTTAACCATTCCACGGAGAATGCTTTCCGTTCAGTGCTCATTAACAAGCCAAATATACCACTCAAGTTTAAGTTTACGGACCTGAAAAACTAAGACTTGATTATGATGCGACGATTCGAAGTCTATGTTCATGTATAAGCAATAAAATTTCAGGACAAGTTGTATGTACAGATTCTAGATTAGACTAAGATTTCATATACAATGAGTTTATAAAAGTGAAATAATATATCATACTGTCAATACAAAGAAATGTGGGTGTATAAACAGTTAAATTTAGCAAGGAAAAGGAGAAATAAATTTATTTTTGAAATTATTTATGAAATAATGTGTATTAATAGACATGGATAATTAATTTATCCCATGGGTAATTCAACAGATTTGATGATATATCGGTTACCTTTCATCGTTACTAAACTTCATTAAATTTTCTTGTTTCCGGTACATACCGCATTACATATATATGTAAGTTGATTGGAAATTGTTTGTTAATATGAAAAAGCTTTCCTTATCACTCTTAGCTTTAGACAACAAAATAATCAGATGCTCAGTCTTCTTCATAGCTCGTAAGCACTAAGTCAAAAATACTTTTAATAGAATTAAAGTGTTTTTGCACTCAAAGCCTTTCAAGTAGCAACAAATAATAATCTTATCAAGCGAAATAGCGATAGCAGAAAGCCTTTATCGGACAAAGAACACACAAAGAACATATGAGGTCAGTTAATTCTGTTCTTGAACTTGTCAAAGGCAAATAATTTGCGAACTGACTTTGAAAGCTTTGAAAGCTTATTATAGGGCAGTAATTTAGAGATTATGTCGAATGACACCGTCTATATGTTTAAACATATATGAATAAAGATAAAGAAACAAAACTTCCTACTATGGAATTGTATTTTTTAGATTAGCATATCCCAAGTGCTACCAACTCATTATAAAAATATTTATTGATAGATAGCGATTAGCTAAGGGGTATCTTATATTGATAGCTTATATGATGTGCTGTTGAAGAGGTGTGAAAGATCGATACTAATATACTAGTGTATGCAGAAGCAATGTATAGATATAACATATATTTATATGTAATTCCTAAATTTTAAAAAGTATTTTGTAAATCAATAGAAAAGCAAACTTTGGTAAAAAAAAAATACATAGATGCATTAAAAAAAGGAATGAACCTGTCAAAATCTTTTGCTGATATGTTTCAGTTATCAAAATTGTATACATTGTATTATTATATATGTATGTATAAAAGGATTATAGCTTTCAGACTTGAAGACTTGCGTAAAAATGAATAAGTAATAATAAAAATGGAGAATGTAACGCTGACGTTGCTTAAGCCTTTCAGCTTATTGCTCACAAAGTAAAATTAATTTCGTTTTAAATATAAATTAATATGAACATATTTACATGCTAATCAGTATGTTATTTTAGTTATACAATCAAATTGATGCTGACAATAATCGAGAGTAAATTGATTATTGGAGAGAGTTTTGCTGACTCTGAAGAACGGCTGGCTTTGAGCTCTGTTCGAAAATGATATGTGAAGTAATCGCTCCAGTGGGCGTGGACAGTATTAATGCGACGTCGCATGCGCAGCTCGTACTCCTGATTGGCATCAGGCAAGCCGTTAAGGCAAAAGGTTTCCTTGAGTCTGGCATACTGAGGATCCTGCCATTCCACTGTGACGTGCGGCTTCAGCTGATACTCCCAGGCGATGCCGTAGTTGTGGTTGTCGAATCTCTTATTCGCCCATTGCAGGCATATTGAATTCGAGGTTTTATTGAGTTCGACTACTTCTGTGCCGGGTGCTTCCAGCACCATGCACTCCCCTCTATTGATAGAGATGTTCTCTGTTCGACTGCCCGTCTCGTCCTCTATGTGAAGTGTGAAGTTGTACTGATTTTTGAACTTATTAAAGTCCTCGGATCGAAAGTTGCACTCTATGCGATTGGAAGAGAGCTCGGGACGCTGGCAGAGCTTGTTAACTGAGAGATGCTGCAGATGATAGTTGGTATTGGAACTGCTCTCAATTGGCCGGGTGAAGCTGCAGTTTAGGCCGGAATTATTGATGTAGTCCAGAAAGCTACAGTCAAAATCGTAAATATGGTGCAAGTTATCAGTCTGCTTATCACAATTAACGTGATCGCGGAAGAGAGTGATTCCAACGAAAATATGTATTAATAACTTAAGTGGAAAATCTGTATGTGAGCGCATTTTAACAGCGATAAGAACTGCACTTATTTATGATTCGTATAATCGCTCTGCTCGACCTTTTCTCTGCTCAACTGGCGAAATGAGACTGAGAGCTCTGCCGGACAGCCCATTAAATTACATATGTAATTACATATACTTTAATGATGCCTTATATTTAAGAGCAATAAGTACATATGTATATTGAGTGCAAAATAAATGAGCCGCTTGAAGGACTTTTTAAATAAACAAGAGTATGTCTTATAGATCTTGATTTTTATATGTGCATACTTTTTCTTTGAAAAATATATTTATAAATTAAAAACACATTTATTACTGCCATAAAGCTGAGTCCTTTAGAAATCGTTATAATTGAGTTGCATACTTAGTATACTATCCAATTTTTTCTTATATAATTTAATGTTTGTTTCCCATTTCTATATTGAATATTTTGTTGTTGAAAGAAAATCGTTTTAAGACTATTTTGCCATAAAACAAATCCGTGATATTTCGCGGTCGACTTCTTCTTGGTTTAAGAAAATTCAATATTGCATATTGCATATTGCATATAAGAACGAGTGATTCCCCGTTTAATATGCTTTATGATAAACTGTAATATATGTATGTCGATATAAATATAGTATATTACATCAAAATAAACTTTCACAATAATTCCCATTGAAATAAAACACAAAAATATTTAATTTTAAACATTTAAAGCTATTTGTTCCGTCAGCTTTATTTATTATCATAATAAATACATATACATACATATATATTTGGTCCTGTGAAGCGTACATAATTTAATAGGGATAATAAAATATGGTTCTGTTGTTTGTCTG